CCCCGGGATTGGGGTGCTCAGCATGGAGGGTGCTTCTCTGCTGCCCTGGGACAGGAGCCAGCCCGTTCCCCATCCATACCGGGGTGTCAGACCCAGCTTCCTCTGGGCTTCACCTCCCCAGGGTTATTCCAGACCCTGGAGGAGCTGTTTCCCCCCGGCAGAGGATGAGCAGCACCCTGTGCCACCATGGGACCCCACCCGTGCTGGGGGTGTGGGGTCTCATCCTGCCCTTCCCTCTGGTTTGGTGCAAACCTCTCAAAATCGGTGGGGGCAAAGGGTGTTTCAGCTGGATGGGGGGAAATGGGGCTTCACCCCCCAGCTGTGCCTGGGGTGCGTGAACCTGTCCCCCTCTTCTGTAGCAGCCCGCTGGTGCTGATGCTGACGGGGGTGCTGGTGCTCATCGCCCTCATCTCCATCATCTTCTTCGTAAGCGGAGGGAGCCACTTCCAGGACCCTCTTTTCTGTGGTGAGTCCCCCTCGGGGTGCAGGGGCTGATCCTGTGCCAGGAGCAGAGGTTTGGGGTTTGGGGAGAGCAGTGGGACCAGCTCAGAGCTGGTTCGCTCTCCTGCAGTGTTTGTGGTGTTCTCCTTCACCTCCATCGTTGACTTGATCATCGCTCTGGAGGAGGATGGCTACATCTCTGGCTTCGTGGAGGTCTACATCAGAGAGGTACCACCTCTCCCCACCTCGGGCTCTTCCACCTGAGCAGCACTGTGCTCCTGAAGCTGCTCGTGCTGCACAGAGCACCCCAGTTCCCACGGGATCCCCTGGGGAGGGGGTGTAGGGTGGTGTTTGCCTCCCCCCCGTATGATCCACTCTCCTCCGAACGGGCAGGGTGAGTCCTACCTGCGCACGGCACACGGCATCATGATCTGTTACTGGGACGGCATCATCCACTACGGGCTCTACCTCGCTATGATCGTGGCCATCGACCAGAGGTGAGAGCAGAGGGGAGCCTGGAGGGCTCATGGAGGTGGGAGGACCCTGAATTTTGTGGGGAGGGGAGCTCTGAGCCTGGCAGGGGTGTCTGATCCTGATGTCTCCACAGAAAGAGCTACAGGAACCTGGGTCTCTTCTGGCTGGGCTCTCTGATGATGAGCATCATCGTCTTCCTCCTTGGGAACCTGATAGGTACGGGGGGTGCAGTGGGGGGCTCAGCTCTGCCAGCCCCTGGGGACAGGGGGGACATCCAGTCCTTGCTGATTCCTCCAGGCTTCCTCCAGCCCCCCATCTGCCCTGGGGGTTTTGCTCCCAAGCACTTGCCCCATGGTGGAACCTCAGTGACGTGGGGATGAGCAGTGGGAACGGGTCCTGGGCACCGAGCGCTCCGTCATGCCCACCCCGTGCTCTCCTTCCCCAGGGAAACACAGCTCTGACCTCAGCCCAGCCTTCCTCCTCAACCTGCCCTACATCCTCATCCCCACCTG